GGCCAATGGTTTTAAAAGAAATATACTATTCTGCACTCTTTTCTACAAACAATATATATAAGTTGGTCTCTATATTTGTAGGGAGACAAAAATATCATAAAATTTGATGGTGATCACAACTCCTCCAGACCACAGTTCTTTTTTGACTCAATTTCCCTCTTCTTCTACAATGTCCTCCGCCCTCCTCACATTCCCAAATCTCGCAAGCTTTACGGATATCTTGATGTAGGGGATTTGAAGATTGGTTCTGCTGTGAATGAGGTATTAGCACTTGAGAGAAAGAGAGTCTACAAGAAATGCACATGAAATTATACTTTGTGCCAAGAATGTAATTTGTGAACTCAAACAATGATACATCAGCAAACTTCTGTCGTAAGTGCCTGCAGCCTGTAAAATTTGAGATGTCAACTCCCAATTCACCTTTTGAAAATATTAGAAGGAAATGTTATTGTGTAGATATATATGCTCACTCAATTCAGTTTTGTTATATGTTTTATTTGAATAACGAAAGACTAATTTTCCCTTGCTTTCATTCAGAGCTTATTATTGGGGATAATCTCTAGTTTACAGTCTGCAACTATTGATGCTGCAAGTTCATCTTCCGCTCCTAGAGAGCATACTCCAAAAGTTGCTCCTAGAGCTGCTCCTGTACGATAGTTCCTTCCATTTTGTCTCTGTAATTTTGAGTAAAAATCTTTGTGCTGTTAATTCATTAATTGCTTTCAATGCAGGACTCCATGATCAGAGAGCAACTAATGCATGGAAATTATGAACCTGGACATGATGAACCTGCAGATATGAAGGTGATTTTGTCAAGGACCCTGTCTGAATTAAGAAATTATTCAGGAATTTTTTACATCTAGATCCACTATTTCCATCTAAAGCGGATTTGTTTACCTTTTTTTGGTTATAATCATTTTCTGTCCATTGCATTAGTGGTCTTAAAATGCCTTTGTAGATCTTGACTCATTTTTATTTTGTTCTGAAATGGACTTCTAATGATTCAACAGGATGAGCCAAATGACTTGACTGAAGATTATTATTCATACACCAGCTCAACTCGAGAAAGCTTGGGCAGATGTTCTTCTTTAGTATTCAGCGATGAAGAATCTTGTCCAGATTACAGGGACGATGATAATGGTTCCGAGGTCTGTCTCTGATACGCATACATGCATGCAAATGCACATGATATTTGATCTAATTATTAGTTGAGGATATATATTATTTGGAAGTGATGTGAGAAACTTAGGTGATAGTAACTTGTGTGCTCAAGCCGTGGTTGAATAAACTTTTGCATAGACATACAGGAAGAAGTATTAAAAAAAAACATTTATGGGAAAACAAAATAAGAATATAAAGTAAATTGAACTTCTTTCATTCTAAAATCAACTTAATGTCTTAACTTCTATGAAGTTCCATTATCTTACTGCTCTAAAAGTTGAGGTGTATAAGTTGATTTTAACTTGTAGTAGACTATTTGGGATGGTTGTAATGTGTTTCATGTGTCTAATAATATTGAAACACTCTTGAAGGTATTTGCAACACCCCTTGGAAGCCTGAGAGAAATATCTGCAGACCCTAAAGAAGAGGAAAAGGGCCAGAAAAAGAAGAAGAAGAAAGCTGAAAGATCCACAAAGAAGCACAAGTCTGACAGATTTGAGAAGTGGGAGTCCCTCAGTCGAAAGCTGAGACTTTGCATTCTGAAGGGATCTGCCAATCGGAGACCAAAGCCCTCATGACATGTCTTGACTACTGTGTGTTACATATTTAGCTAACTACATGTTTTCATAAGATCAATGTAAGACACTGCTATATTTAGGCACTTCATGAAACTCAACTTGTTTGTAGGTAACTAGTTGATTGACTCCATTCTCATTTGGGAAATGATTCAGCATTTATTTTTGTGCGAAATGTTGGTTTCTCTTTCTGGCTCATCTTTCACTACTTGTTTACTTTTGCAGCAATGTTACTTGTTTGTCATTCTCACCTTATTGCTTAGTGTAGCAGTATCTACATTGGGGGCATAATGTGCTTTTTATGTGATGTGTCAGGAATATCAATTCTGCCTTAACTATATTTTTATCATAGCATGAATTTGTTCTTCCGGATTCCGTTTGTGTCTTTTAAATCTTTTTCTCTTAATTAGATTCTATTCAATATTTTTTATTGGCTGAACATCCATTTTTGTCTTTGAAAGATATAAACGGTGACAGGTAGATATCTGAAAGAATTTTTGTAACATTTATGTTTTTATAGTTTTCAATTGTTGGACACTAATTCTTCTGTTTGGGTCGTAAAAGATGTGTGCTAAGTGTTAAGGTTTCATCTTTTTTACTAGTCGGTGTTTAACCCTCTTATCCAGGTCAATGCCTGCCCAGATTTGAAAATAAACCTTTCCTTTGTGCTTCTTAATCTTCTTCCTATGCAGACAAACACTGCTGCTTCATCTCTTCAATTTCTTCCAGTTCTTCAATGTCTAACGATGGATCTATCGAAGAGGAGGTTTACACAAACACCAATAACATCCAAGTCAATTATATAAAGAATCGACACCACTCTTTACCCAAAATCTAAAATCTGGATTAATGGACTTTTCACCTATATGCTGTCCTACTTTTTTCATTTCTAGCTAATGCGACTTGGATTCACACATGGATTCCCAACCGCTCATTCATCTCTTCATTCCTTCCATGGTAAAATAAGAGGATCTGGAAGCAGAAGGACCTGCAGAGAAGAAGAATAAAAGAAGGATATGCAGAGAGAAGAAGAATAAAAGAAGGATATGCAGAGAGAAGAAGAAGAAAGAGAAAGATATGCAGAGAGAAGAAGAAGAAAAAGAAGGATATGCAGAGAGAAGAAGAAGAAAAAGAAGGATATGCAGAGAGAAGAAGAAGAAAAAGAAGAATGCCTTTATTTATCAAGTTGAGCACTAAGAAATTTCAGCAACATATTCTCAAATATGATAATGATGTTTACTAGTAGTCAAAATTCTAACTAAAATTACTAAATAAAAATAAAATAAAAATCTATACTATATTTCGACTCATGATAAATTCCAACCAATAATAAAAAATATCTTTAAAAACGTTAGAAAATATTATTATAATTGTCGTGTTAATTTGTGTTTACTCAACCTATTGGGTTAGCACACTAAGAATTGGCCCATATAGCGCTTAGAGTGCTTAGCACAATTCTTAGTTTAAAAATGTTAATTTAAAATTACTTAATTATTAACATGTAAAAAAAAGGTTTAATTGCTTCCTTTGTCCCCAGTTTGGTTGAATTGTGTCAAATTCATCCTCATTTTTAAAAAAGTTTCATTGTCGTCCTCACGTGGTATAAAAGTGTCAATTGAATCCAAACATAGAAAAAATTTGTGTCAAAGTAGTCATTTTTCCTATATATCTGTGTCTTCCTTTCATATGTCACTTCTCTGGAGCTATGAAAAGCCTTAAATTGGATAAGGTAAAATGAATATCTGTACTTGATTGTATGAAAGGAAGACACAGAGATATAGGAAAAATGACTACTTTGACACAAATTTTTTCTATGTTTGGATTCAATTGACACTTTTACACCACGTGAGGACGACAATGAAACTTTTTTAAAAATGAGGATGAATTTGACACAATTCAACCAAACTGGGGACAAAGGAAGCAATTAAACCTAAAAAAAATGTATTAATTTTAATTAAAATATTTAAAATTAAATACTGTTTAAAATAAACGAGTAGTTTGTCTAAAAGTAATATTCAAGCAATCTTTCAAAGAAAACTTAAAATTTACACTATTTTATGATAATTTTGTGGTCATAATACATGTAGATATAGTTCTTTAAGAATTATGATAATACGTGCCCTTTTAAATTTAGTCATTGAACTTAATTACTTACTCTTATTTTTATTCTGAATATTTTTTTAATTTTTTAATTAAATATTACATCAACAAAAATTGTAAGTCATATTTTTATTTCCTTTTTTTTATTTGTTATTTTTACATTCCTTTCACGTGGTTTTTGGTTTATCTTAACTTTTTGTTTTTTTATCTTTATATCAATTTCACCATTTTAAATTTAATACTTATAATGTTAAGATGTGTCGAGTCTTACCTTCAAAGTTTATTGTGAAGTTTGAGTAAATATTTTACATTTTCATTGATTTGATTCATTTAATAAAATGAATATATAAGGTCAAATGATATGATACTACTTATTTATTGTACTTATGAAATAACCATATTTTGCTCTGTAAACTCAAATTTGAAAAATGTTATAGTAGATTTTATAGCCGTATATCGTGTGTATTATAACTAACAAAATTACATATATTTGATCATATAATCATTAAACTGATTTTTGAATGCTTAAATCATTAACTAAATTTCATAAACCACTAATCAAATTAAAAAGTATATTTTAAAGCTTTGATCTTATAAGAATTTAAATTTTAAATGGAAAATTTAATATAAAAATGTATAATATGAAAATTAAGGTGACTCATGATAAGATACTAATGCCTTTGTAAGTATTTTATTTATAATGGAAGATTTAATTGAAAATGTAGAAGTACTTTCTAATATTATGGTAAGACGTAAGTGATCAAGTTTAAACACTTAATTGAAGATGAAATATTATGATATCATAATGTTTTGGAAAAATAAAAACCGTTTTGATTAATGAGTGTATACAGCATCAATTATCACCCATAAGTCTTATTATTACCATAATGTTTTGAAGAATGCTGTGTTATTACCATATAGTCTAATTAATATTTTCTCTTGAAATAGTACATCTGCAAGAATTACAGTGCACATTTAACATACTTAAACACAGCTTAATACAGTGATTAGCACAATCGATCACAACCATCCCCAGTCAAGTGATTTGTATCACCCCACCATAATCTTCTTATAAACTACCATGGTTTTTATGAAGCAGATGATAAGATTTTTTCTATTAACCCAATTCAAATTAGTTCTCTAAAATAATTGAAGGCTGGATGCTTAGTCAAGTACTGAACATTTGAACTGAAAACTAAGAACCTTGGAAATCTATGATGATCAGATCCTCTCGTCTATTAAGAAATACATAGAAAACAGAAACTAAGCTTAGAAGGAAGATAGAATGAGTCCTAGAACACAACCTACACATTACACCAAATCACAGATTACTGCCACCAACCTTATCCAATTCCTCACCACTTCTGGTAGACATACCCAATGAAGGATCAAATTGCTCTTGGCCAAGAAAAACAGTGCTAGGATGTTGGTATTGTGACATGCTTGACTCCAGTATCTGAAGTGGAAGCACCATGTCTGGCTTTGAATACGATCCGTCCATGTTTAGCCGTTGCTTCTTGGTTGATCTCTCCCCTTTAGGGCTGTCAGCAGGGGAACCAATATGGCAACCAGAATCTGGAGTCAATGGTTCATGGTGTGATGAAAAAGATTCCATGGAAAGACTCTTTGCTGGGACACGGTCTTTGGCAGCCTTTTCTGGGTCGGGGGTAGACGGGTCGGTCTTATTATCCGGTTCTTGGCACACGTCCCCCGGAACCACAGCCACAACCTCAGTGTCAGGTGCCTCTGAAAGAACCCCACTGAGCCGCTGTTGTTCTTCGATTATCTTTTTCAGGTATTTACCCTGGGCTTCTATCCGTAATTGTAGCTGTCTCTGCACCTGTTTCACATTAAAATACAAAATTACTAGCTTGGCATCTTAATTACAAATAATTAATCAGTCTGTTTATTCTATCTTCACTTTGTTCAAAAAATTATAAAGTTAAATTTAGATCAACAAAAACACAAATTTTAAACTCCATTTTCATATAATGCAGTACAGCTTGAGCCAGATATGTGTCGATGTTTCATCATGAGACATACATACAGTTTGAATGGTACAACCAAGAACTAAGTTATCATATAACTAATTTGTGTAACTGGCATAAATCCATAGAGAGATCAATACCTCTCACATGATAACGTGAAATAGAAATCATAAAATACAATCAGTTGACACTGTGAAGTCATCAGATCAGCCGAAATAGGAAAATATACCTCCAATTGTTCATGTAGTCGCTTCTGGACCTCCATTTGAAGCTTTAGTGCTTCAGTAATCTGCATCCCACTGCAGACAGATAAGCCCACAAGTAAATTATTAATCCCTTATTATACCACCAATCATCAAACAATCAAGAGCTGTTGGTTAAAGAGTTACATTATCCATTAATATTTATAACGCATTGAATACAGAAAAACAGATAAAACTGTGTTTGTTAACACTAGCAAATTTCATCGGGATGTGAAAGTATTGGTGACGGTTAAAGCCTTGCAAAATGTGCTCTAGTGACCCGAATAATTTTTCTTTTTTAATTATACGCCATCACCAACTCGTAGAAGTATAAAATCCCAAACGTGAGGGGGGAATAAGAAGCAGCAATACTCACGATGAACCATCGAGATTGGAAAGCACATCCCCAGTTTCTTTCTTGTCAGCCTTTTTCCCTTCTATCAACAAATTTAGAAGTTATCATACCAAACAAATCTAAAGGAGAAACCAGAGTACAATAAATGCTTAATTGACTAGAAGTAACAAAGAAAAAAAGCCCTCAACGTGATTTACGCAAATAGTTTAAATTACAGAAGTCAGATAGACATACCATCAGATGAGGAATCCGGTAAATATTTTGCTAGTCGGTACTTCTGTAAGAAACAGGGAAGAAAATGAAAAACCAGTATTTACATAGAATAATGGACATCAAGTTAAGAGGCCCTTTAAGTGCACATTACCTGTAAATGGCTTTTGACATGGTAAATGGTCAATCCTTGTACACCCATAACTCTAAGGACACCTTTGGGTGTGGCACCTAGCAAAAAGAACAGTTATATTTAAAACACTTTTATAAGGAATGGTAAAATCATGCATAGAAGCTCGAAATACTCCTCAGCTAACAATAGGATATCTAACCAGCATAAGTATACAGATACAAAATTGACGAGTAGTAGATGCATTTATTTTATTACCCGCTACACAACCTAGCCTTCTCATTTTACGGACTAAAGTTGCGTTTTAAGTTTGAGAGCAGCAAAAAACAACTTTCAGATCCCAGTTAAGCAAAAATAGAGGAAGAAATACTCACGATCTGGCCCACCAAGTTGAGCCACAGCATCAACGAAGCGCTCGTGTAATTCATGTGTCCACCGTAGACGTTGTTTTGAGGTAAGATTAGAGTTGTTGCTATGACTGTTTCCTCCATTGCCAGGATCCATTGCGCTGCCACCACAATCTATGTGCTGACCATGAACTAATGAATTACCTCCAACTAAACTTGCACTAGGAACATTCTTTGAATGATACATTTGTCATTTATCTGACAGCAAACAAATAAAAGTGAATATAATGCATTATGGAAATTAATTCAATCACCGTCAACTTGACAGCATATTGAAAGAGAGGTTTGTAAAAAACAGAGGGAAGAATCAGACATGCAAGCGGGCAGACACATAAATCTACTGATTCCACAAGAAAAGAGCAACCTTTTGAATTTTCTTAGTTCATAGTGTATACATTACTTATAGTATTACAAAATTAGCATGTTTTGTCCCAATTCCTGATGCGAATTAATTCAATTCATATTTGGTTCTATCGTGAACTCACATTATGTAAGTCTCCCTCAATCAACTTTTCCGGTTGTCATTAACAAAATTTACACAATGGATCCTTTAAAACTCTGAACACAAACCTTAAAAATAATCCCTGACATCCAATGGACCATTTCATCAAAGTTGAATAGAATTTTCATTCATTTTATTGCAAAGCTCTTCTTTACCTAAAGCCTCTCGATTTCTTTCTTCAGGTGAGTTCCCAGGAAAAAACTCGAGCCTCATGGAAAGGCACACTGTTTCCTTGTCTACAACACATAAAGAAGAGTGATTCTTAGCCTAAAGTCATCTGATAACTAGGTAAAATTCTGTAGTGTTTGTACTTGATGAAAGCACTCGATAGAAACACAAATCAAATGAACTTATAAGTGAGTTTAGCCTTTGTAAATTTATAAACTGTATCCTTCAAATATCATCTAATCCTAATAAAACTAAATCATCAGCTGCAGTTTTGCAGAATAAATATCGATACTGCTAGAAACGAAGAGCACATCAGAAAAAAATAAACCATCAAAATTTAAGGTGATCCTTCTTTCCCTAACATAGGTTAAACCCACCCAGAATGTCCGAGATGAAAAGCCTAGCACCCCATCCAACAAGGCTGATTTTTGCAGATACTAGGAAATTGAAAGAGACATCATTCTTATTTGTATAGCGCTAAAAAATCACTATCGTAATTGCTGCTTGCAAAAGAATTCATTAATCAGATGCAACCTGATAACATCAGCAAATTGGGACCCAGAGCTAAAAGTTGACTTATTTTCATCATGCTAACACCTTTGAATATCAATTAGCACCAACAAAATCGATGATTAGAAACATTACACATGGAACAGAACACCCCCAGGATTCTCACCATAGCTGAAACAATTGTAACAAACCAACTAACCGACATTAAAAAACACAAACCTACTCCTGGTAACTGGGGTTCTGGCCCCACATGAAGAACACCACAACTCTCAAATGGAAAAAAAAAAAAAAACTGCAAATTTTACACCTCCCAGACCAACTCTTTGAAATGTTCTATTTCCCAGCACCAAGCCCAAAACTTCAAAAGTGGGGCAATACAAAAATCAAAGTATAAAAATGTAAAACGCGAACTTCAAGCCAAGGCATGGACAGTTGCCTCATTAAGATGAAGCTCAAACCAAAGAAACCTAAAGGGTCACCAAAAATGATAAAAACAAAAAACACAAATGAAAGAAACCACAGAAGCACAATCCTCAGTGACAGATGCAGAGAGAAAGAGAGAGACGGATAGAATACAAAGCTTGACTAAAAACTGAAATCGATAGAAGGAAGAAAAGGGGGAAGAGAAATACATACTCAGATCTACAAAATCCAACGCATACAAATTTTCTCCCCACTCCAATTTCGGAGCTGAGGAGTGCTGTGCTCTGTGTTTTTCTCTCTCTCTTCGTTTCTCTCTCTTCGTTTCTCTCTCTTCAAACACAGTGATGCCCTCCAATGAAATTAATCGATTTTTAGGGGATTGCTATAGTAAATTATTAATCTTATTATTATAATTATTAATTAAAAGAATGAAAAAAAGGAAAACAAAACAAAAACTAAGATTAATGCCACGCGTTTTCTTTCTCACTTTACGCAATACTATTGATAGAAATAGTTTAATTACGATAGAGTTTTCAAACTCTAAAATTCTAATCAAGTCCTGTGATATAATTAAGAGTTATTAACTTTCAAGTAATCATTTTAAAATCATTCAAAAACCACTTTTTACATCATCCTATTATCACTTAATGATAAATATATGGTCATGTTAAAACCTTTTAAACTAATTATTTTAAAGTTTATATTAAAAACATTTTTTTATTAATTGATAATATGAAATCATTTATACTGCCGTCTATTAAACTTTATTTAATAATGTTTTACAATTAAACTCCAATTCCTGGTTTATATGTATGAGTCATAAAAATACGATTCAAGAGAAATAGATCGTTAAAGTTCATTCCTTAATAATAATGCATTGAAATATCAGTATTTATTAATAAATAAAAGTGATCCTTTAAAGGCATCAAAAAATATTATATAAACTTTTGAAACATACAAATTTTCAATTAAATTAGCATTTGGCACTTTTAGTATTAGTTTAACGAACCCAATATTTAATTTTAGTAGTCATTTTTGCTATTTTTAATTTGTCTAAAATAATTTCGCATTTTGAAAATTAATAAAATTAAATTAGACTTTTGACCGTTGAACCTGCCAAAATTCCTTCGTTCTTCAATTAGTCTATTCATTTTCTGGTTTTTGTCCACCGTTGACTTCATGCCATTCTCCCTGCTATTACTGGTCACTAGATTAATCAGAAACATTTTGAATTTTTTTTTAAATAATTTTAATTTAGTTAATTTATTATCAATTTTTTTTTTTACTTATGTATGATTGGTCTACTAATCTTATGTTAGGAAATATAACTGAGATTTTTTTTCCCTATTTTCTTTCTTTTTGACTTAAACCAATGGGAAACTGCAGTTTTTAAGAGACTTCTAATATATTTTTTTTATTTATTTATGAGTGTATTACCTATTTGATCACTCTAATCAATTAAACTTTATCTTTTATTCTCTATATTTAAAATTTATTTATTTAACTTCTTATATATAATTTATTTCATGTTATTAGTGTTTTTAAATTTCAATCACAATTAAAAGTAACATGTATGAGATGATTTTTTGAGTTATTAGTGTTTGATATAATAATCAGTTGAAACTTTTGTTAAATATAAGATCATCTATATGAATATAATTATACGATATTTTTTATCAAATTTAATTCTACTGCTATGATATATTTTGAGTGATTATAATTTTTTATTTTAATTGTTTTTAAATTAATTTTATTTAATATTTATAGATATTTTAACTTTATTTATTTATCCACTCCATTATTAATTTTACATCATATCTTTAAAAAAAATCAAATTTAAAATAAAATAGGTTAACATATACTTATGCCATAATGTCATAATTCTATTATATTAACTGATATAATAGCTAAAATATCTCGAAATATAATGTGAAATGGGATAAAAATTTATAAAAGATATAAATAATATAATGGTTAAAGGATAAATAATAAGAAAGTTTAATGAATATTTTAAAGATAAAAAAGAGAACAAACTGTAAAACTAGTGTTTTAGAAAAAAAAAATCATTTGAAATAAAATATAAAAACAGTGTATCCTATTAGAAGCTATGTTTTCGTCAATCATTGTTAACAAGGCAAAAAGTTTTTCAATCACTAAAAAAAACTTAGTCATAAACTAAAAGTGCTTGCCCTAAAAAGACAGCAAGATTTGATATTACGTATTTTATGTTACAGTTGTTCTTTTAATTGAACTTTTAAAGGTTTTATGAAACATCAAAAAATCAAAATGCTCTCACTGAAAATATAATTAAAGTTAAATAGAAAAATCCACACATTATAATTTTAATATATTTTTTCAATCATGAATCTACTCAATATTTTCTTAATTAGTGCAACTTTTTTTATTATTTAAAACTAGGAAAATAACAATACAAATATAATAAGACTAATAATCAGGTGTCAGAGCATTTTAGATGGTTCTCCTTTCCTACATCAATGTTTATTCTTTTATTAATTATTTCAAATGTCACCTATTTGTACCAATAATTTATTACTAAATAGCACTTATCTCAAAAACTATATTTTAACTCTCTTTCCATAAACACTTTTATCTTTTTAAGAAAATTTATCCAAATAAAAAACTAATAATAAATAAAATATAAGTTAAATCCATATAAGATATCGATATTATCTCCCATTCAAAATCTTAAATATAACTATTCTTCCAAGATAAAATTTTCTCATTTTTATGTACTGTGATACTTAAACTTTTCATTAATCCTTATGAACACTAATTTTACATCATAAAATCTCCAAAATTAGCTAGAGAAATAAACACAAAACCAGGTCCAAAATAAAAACTTCAGACCATGGCAAAATCAATTCAGAGTTTCTTATTCCATTATTGCTAGCTTGTCCATATGTGTACATTGCAACCAACCATCCAGAAACACCCTTATAATGAACTTGTTGGAATATATATATATATATATATATATTCATGTGAATGCATTACCTTTTCTTTATGGTTAAATATAGAGAAATTGAAATAGAATGAATTGAAGCAAAGACATTAGGAGACATAAGAACAAAAAAAGAAAAAAGAAAAGTATGTGTTAATTTGGTTTAGTTGATAAAGAGAACAGAGAAAAGAAGAAACATACCTGGTATTGAAAACAAAGGAACAAGGTGACTAGGTTTGATTTGTGAGTTTTATGAGGGTGTGGTGTTTGGAACTTTGTTTTTTGTTTTGTTTTATTGGGATGATTGGTTAGTGTGAGAAGGTTTGATCCAAGTGGGTGAGGTTGAGTACTGAAATAATGCAATACTTAATACTGCTTGTTGTGAACATGACAACAACAAGTGGCATTGTAATCTGCTAAGATGGAATCTTCCTCGTAATATTCCCTCATACTTTCTTCTTTTATTAACAAAAACTATGAAACTAAATTAATTATTATATCACTTCAATTAATTTTTAAAAAATTACACATCATAAATATTTTCAATATCCTATCTAAAGAGAGTGGAAGTGGTAAATCTCATTCCTTTCAACAACAAAATAATATTAATAATTATAATAATAATAATAATATTCCGACAATGTGGTCCTTTTCCTATTGCTTCTTTCTCGTGCTATACGGCTATGCATTAATTCCATATAATATCTAATTTATCAGCTATTTTCCCTAATCATCTTCGTCAGAGATTCCAAATTTCTCATTGCACAACTCATACACTCTTCTAAACCAAACCCTTATAATTTAAAGATATTTTAATTTTTTTTTCATTAATTAAATTGAGTTTACTAGGATTCAATCTTAAGTTATAAAAGAAGATAATACACATTTAATTACAATAACGAATGTAAATTAATGTATGTTATGGTTGGTTTGCATGGCATAGCACATACTATTCTGTTGATTTAAATTTATTTAAAACTATAAATTTAAGAAAGAGACCTATTAAATACTCTCTTGAACGTTTCAAATAGGAAGAAAAATGTTTCTTAAAAGGGAATGATATAAACATTGTACTATTAGCATTTAGAAATAGCCAAATGTGAATATTACATGACATTAAATTCTCCAAAGTTCAAGAAAACAACTGTGTCAAACAAGACATTGAACTCTCACTCCTCAATAAATATTCTTGTATTATGTCATTGTTGTAAACGGAATTCCACTTAGACGGTCAAAGAGAGGTGGTGTTCATCGATGATATCAACTTTGATGTTATACCTAATCATGCAAACCCAAATCAATAATAACCCTCCACGTGTCTCACAAATGTGTATTTATTTCTTCATAATATTTTTATATTCTCTTGTCATAGTACTAATCATATAATACCAATAATGTCTTTCTTTATAGTCATCCAAATTTTAATTATCTTTAAAAATCTCAAGTTCTTAAGTAAATTTATTTATCCAACTTAATTATTACTTTTATAAATTTTCCATTCTTTGACCGTCCATCAATGTATTCAATATCCTGAGAAAGAGGCTGAACATATCTGTTAGCATCTGCAGCACTGTGAGTGTATGAAATAATCTAGTTTTTTTTGTTTCTTTTAAGAAACAACTGAATTTGAAAACTTGTCATGTTCCACCTACCACTTTCATGATACAGAAAGTTCAGCAAATGCAATTTGTGCAGCAATTTTCATTTCATTTGACTGACATGCCAAGACTATAGTGCAATATTATATTATTCAATGCTAAAGCCAAATTACAAAACGCGTAAAATCATAGAATACAACAAAAAGTCATATAGGAGGCAAATACCACTACTTTAAAACATGATTGGTGAGGAAAATATTTTGTTTGCTGTGTCTAGTGACCCAAATGTTCATTATTTAAAACAATGGTTGACAAAAAGTAACTTGTGAGGATTCTACAATTTAAATCTGGGTTTTGGGAATTCATAGGTTCTTTGAAGAGTTCATCCATATAAGTCATTGAAACACACAAATTTTGTATAGTCAGAGGTAGATTTTTGCAATGCTTAAAGGCAGAGAGAAGTTTGAATTTACAAAAGGGTAAAATTGATTCCACCTATGTCTCACTACTAACTTACAAGACATGAGTTCAAGTACCTGTAAAGAAAAAGGAATGAATGAAGGGCAAAGGAAGATGATGAGAGGATGAACCATCCCTACATGCCATACCTAGTTATTCCTTGAGGAAGACTACCTTGGGCCACATTGATGGCCTGAGTTCTCATCTTAGCTTCACTCCAGATCAAAGGAGCTGCCATGGAGTCCATGCCTAGCATCCTTCTTTTTCCCCCACCGGGTGATCCTTCTAAAGTCAATCCTCCAGAACTTTCATGTGAGGTTAAACAACTTTCAGTTGAACAATCAGCCCTTT